ACTCATTCTATGGGTATATTGTATTATGTCTGCCCAACATTCCGCCTCATAGAGAAAAGCTGGTCTCACAGCTGTCCTATAAAACTTGCCCCTCCACTTTATGTCCACCCAACATTCCAGTTGCACATCTCCACTTCGCCCACCTAGCTCTAATTATGTGTGCGATATCTTCCTCCATCTCTCCATTTTTCTGTACTTTCGACCCAAGATAAATAAATACATAAATTTTATATTTTATTTCATTTTACTATTTGATAAGAGAGTTCGTTTATTTTGAGTCATAATATTTTAAATAGTATGACTTCTGTGCTCTAATAGTCCATCATTTAGTTTAACTATTATACTATATAAAATGTTGTTCATTTAAATACACATGACAATTCCTCATAGTGATTGCAATTAGCAGGCCGCTTCAACACGTCTCATGTTCCAAACTAGCCCTTGACATTCATTTTTGAAAATGCAATCGTACAAAGTTTAAAAAAGGTTTAGTCACATGAAAAAAACAACCCTCAGAAGGATTTGATCTCAACACCATTTGGGTCAAGAATATCCACGCTACTATTTGGCTATGAGCTTCCTAATTTTTTATTTTTTTTTGAAAGAGTTTATTGTGACCATGAGCTTCGTAATTTGTAATATAATGACGACACTCCAAAATGAAGTGTCGACAGATAACCAGTAAAATGGCCCGAGACATACAAACAACATGTCAAGGACCAAGCTCCTGAGGGTGGTCACTATCGTGAGATTACGTATACTCAAGAAGGACAAAGGAAATGGCATAATGCAAAAGTTTGAAAGATGGTTAGCTGCCAAGAAAGTTTGTACCCTCTCCTTCAAAGGTCGAAACAACTTGATAAAAGCCACTTTAGCTAAATCCCCATCTATCAAATGTTCCTCTTCTGCATGCTGATGAGCAAAGTCTATAAATTGTAATGGTTAATGCAGAATTTCCTATGGAACAGGTCAGACGCTACTCACAAAATACATTTCGTGATGTGGGACAGTGTTTGCTTGACAAAAAGGTCTGGGGATCTGAGAACTCAAGACGCAGTTGTCACACAGAAGCTCACAATTGGTGGTGGTGGTACACCATCCATCAGATGCCATATGGAATTAGTTCGACGCCTACCATTATGTGGGTGATGGTATTAACCCCATGCCTGCAGCTATCAATCTTGTGGAAGAAGGCAGTGTTTCTATCTCTTGCTCAAAGCCATTTGATTTTGGATGTCTGGAACAGATTTCTTCCTTCTTGAGGAGATGCATGGCCTCTTGTCATTTAGAAGATTTA